CGAAAGATGAAAAATAAGCATCAAAACTACCGCAAAAAGACCAAGAGTCATTATATAAGGTAATTTAAGAACAATCTTTTATAAAAACATTTATTCCTTAAAAGTTTAACAAGTTTATGTGTGAACTTATTATAAATTACTTACTCCAATGATTTTAAAAAATATGCAGTTCTGTACTTAATATTACAAAAATTAGTTACACCCCTTTGAAAGGTAAAATGATGAATACAATGTAATTACATTTTTGAGATTGAAAAACCTTTCAATTTTCTATTTAAATTCATTAATTACATCACCATACTCAAAATATGGTTATTCCCGATGAACAAGAACATACAATCCTAATGAAGCTAACATTGCATACTAAAATCAAAATTAGTAATTAATTAAAAATTGTTAGCAGTTTCTCATAGCTTACCTTAAATTTTGGATACTCGTTCATTAGAATAGTAACTATCCCCACATATGGAAGAAATCCTCGAGCTCTACCAACAACATCACTCTTGGTTAACCACAACTGACCTGGTGCATACAACCCTCGATCATCAACGCTATTATTGTCACCTTTGGTTAAAAATTTCACAGTTCCATTTTCCCTTAAACATATCAATAAGTCACAATTTAAAACTACTGGTAACACTCACTTTTCATGGAGTTTAAGTACTCGATGCACAATAGGAATATCTCTTCCTTCAACTTTAAACACAACGATATCTCCTACTTGAACAGGCTCTTCAGGATAATTTGTTAAAAATAATAAATCACCCCTATGAAATGCAGGTTCCATGCTTCCCGAAAGGACGACTACAATGGGACTTTCGCTACCTGTTATCACCATTAAACCTTTCCATATCATTAAAGCTGAAGAAACGATCATACCAAAGCTTAAAACTTGGTATAAGAACTAAAACAATATGTTGATATCAACGTGACTCCATAAAGATCAGTAATAATACCTGTCGCTTGTTCATTCGCTTTACATCATCAAAAAATGATGCTACATCCATATTGGACACAAAATTGAGTACTTTTATTTAGACAGCAATTAAAGTTTTTAAATAAAAGCTAATTTTTCTATTTATTTTGCCGACACCAGTACAGCCAACTTTGAACCAACTCATCCAATAAATAAGACTGTTGCCAAATATCTTTTAATGACAACCCGTACAAGCAAAAACTTTTACTAATTTAAGAGAAAATACCTTGCCACAATATTATTTATAAAAAATGAAAAGATTTTGCGGAATCTTCTCTTTATCGCTATGGAATTTCAATTTTTGAGGACAGTTATCAACATATCAGGCAACGTTGGCGCTGAACGCTAGTTGTACAGCTCCGATTGGCTGTTCCGTCTCGACATGGAAGTGCCTCTAGTTCCAGTACTGTTTTTAAAAGTCGATTCAAAATTGTAGATTTTTAATTACAAATATAAATTTAATATATCTTGCATAATATGTACTTAATGAAAAGAATATGCCGAATACCAAACTGCCGACTGGGTTTTAGCAGAATTGGGATCTTTACTTGCTAAAACGCTAGCCGTTATTGGTAAATTTACCATAAAATTTTGCATTTTGGCGCATACTTCTGAAAAATCATTGTAAATTTTACTTCTTGGTGAAATGGGTAACACAGCCTCTTTATCCATTTTAATTTCTTCATCGGATTTACTTTCTTTTGTATTATCCGAAATGTCATCATTTTCGGTACCAATGGTAACTGTTGACTTAGTACTAGCAATTTCTTCTGATTTATTGCTGTTTTCGGTAGTTTGATCGCTCCATTCAGAGACCAGTCTTTGTAGAGGTTGAAGAGACTGAACACTTTGTTTCACTCGGATAAGTTCTAAATTACACATACTTTCGACTTCTAGCAAACGCCGTTGATATTCAGCCATTGCAATTGTTCGCCAAAGAATTGCTTTTTGCTCAGCTTGCTTTTGAATAAATGATGATGAATCCTGTTGAAGGGGAAATTTTTGTTGATGGTCTCCATTACCTAGATAACTATTATCCGTAGAACTTTCTGTTAAATTTCCTGTAGACGTATCCTCTACGTTTGCTTGCAATTTGTTGTACTCCTCAAATTCCTCCTTCCATAACGCTTTTTCTTCATTTAATTGTTTTCGTAAAATTTCAATAGTTCTTTTTAAATTGTTGACTCTCTTTTCTAAATTTCTTTTATGTTCCTTAATAAATTTTTCGGTAATAAAAGTATCTTCTTCGCCCTCATCTTTATAGGATATATCTATTTCAGATTGATAAGACGAAGATTGCTCGTTCTCATTTTGTGATAACTCTACAGAGGATTCTTCTGTTTTATGCTCTCTATACTCAATCTCTGTTTGAGAACCAGTCATTTTTGTTTTAAGAGAAAAAAATAGTACTGACACGTTTAAAATTCAAATAACTATTTTTGTTTTATGCCTACTTTTTTTATGATTATACACATAAAATAGTAAAGTTGCGTTGCATATACTATAGACACATTCGGTTTCTTTTAAGGCGAGATTTTAACATACAACCAAAATGAAGTAAGTTATTTGAAAATACTTTAATTATTAAATACAATCCAGTTAATTTTCATTATAAATGAATAGTATTTAGTATATAACTTTATGTTTTAAACAATATTTTCGTGTTTCAGGATCGGATTATGTGTTTATAGTGGGTACAAAATTTACCCAGGACATGGAAAAACAATGGTAAAAGTAGATGGAAAGGTAAGTAAATAGTACTAATTTCACTGTATATACTTAAACGAACAGTATATTTTTCAAAAATTCTTAATTTGGTTTAGTGATTATAAGTTTTGTGTCGCCCCTTTAGGTTATGTTGCATCAAAATGATTTCTGTTTGATATTACAACTGTTTTTCTTTTAATTAGTTTTTTTAATGTTGTAGACATTTACTTTCCTCAACTCTAAATGTGAAGCTGCACATTTAATGAAAAGGAATCCACGTAAAGTAACGTGGACAGTGTTATACAGGTTAACTTTTATCTTTCCAAATTTTTCAGCATCAGTTCTTGTAATTTAACTTTTAGACGAAAACACAAAAAAGGTCAAGAAGAAGAAACTGCCAAGAAACGTACACGCAGAACTCAAAAGTTCCAAAGGGCTATCGTAGGTGCTTCACTTAACGACATTTTGGCTAAGAGAAATCAAAGGCCAGAAGTAAGAAAAGCCCAAAGGGATCAAGCTATCAGGTAAATTTATAAATTTAAATTGTCATATAATTTATGGTCGTTAAATTTTTTAGAGCTGCAAAGGAAGCAAAAAAGAGTACAAAAGCTCAGAAAAAAGCAGCTGCTCCAGGCAAACCGAAGTTGGTTCAGAAGACAAAAGCTGCTAAAGTAACACAAAAGTCAGCCCCACGTGTTGGAGGAAAACGATAATTTTGTATTTAAAAATGTTAATAAAATAGAATCCAATTCTTTTTTTTTTCTTTTGTTACCTTAGCTAATCATTTATGGTGTCTAAAAGACACGCAATGCGTTTTTCTAAATAAATACTAATTTTTAATTCTGTACGTTTAAGGGGTATAATTGCGGATATTTTTTAAATTGGTTGTGTCCTAAATATATTTTTCAATTTGAATGATCCAGTAGCGGTGTTGAAATATTAACTTTATGTGGTCTGACGACTTTAAGGATATCAAAAAAAAAATATTAACATTGCTAACTAGAATTATCTTTTATTTCGACTAGAAATTCAATCGTGGAGTAATTATTAGTTCTATTTTTATTTTCTTTTCATAAAGTAAACAGCATTTTCTTTGAACTATGAAACACTAAGCATTTCAATTATCATCAATATGCATTATAAAAAGTATACTGGGTGCAGTTTTTTATTTTTGTTTTATAAATCCAGTATATTATTATAAGCTGTCTAATACTTTATTACTTACAATCGCTTTACATTAAATACAAAAAATAAACAATTAATGATAGAATATACGGTAAAAGACGACATACATATTTTCCGCAATAATAAATAAATTGTTTATTGATTGGACTCTTTCTGACGAGCCGGTACTGATGTTTATCTATGTTTTTATCGACTGTGCATATCTATGACTATAACCTTAAAAACCTAAAAAATTCAAAATTATTGTATTATTTTCTAATTATTTTACATGTATTACACATATGTTACATAAACTATCTATTTTCATTCTTTTATTCTGTGAAAGATACTTGTAATGGTGAAATAATTCTTCATTAGCCAATGAGTTGTAAATTGTGTTAAACAAAGGTATTGGCGTTACAGATTAAATAAAATAAAAAAATGCAAAAAAACAATTGCATGAAGATTTAGGTAGTTGGAATCTCGTTAGAATTGAATTGAAGATCATGTTTTGGTTTTGATGTTTATCCTTTTTAGAAACCTCATAAATGTCAAATTGAAATGTCTAGCCTAAGATTTCATTATTTATTTAAAGATTGTACGAAAACCAAATTATTTAATGTTCCTGCGTTGGTAAGAAATCTTTCGAGGCGAAGTAATAATCATGAAGGATCTTTTAAACCCGTAAAATCACGAAAAGTCGAAAAAGGTAAGTTTTTCTCAAATACTCATTATGACGCAATTGTTACACAAACACTCATTTATTATTGAAGAAAATTTTAACATCTCTATTCAGTACTTGAATTTGTGTTATTTGCAGCTGAAGGACACTTAGTCTGGCGAGATCCAAATTTTGAGATCCTCGCTTCCCCAAATGGATTTCCATTCTTTTTACCTGGAAACATTGGTCTTGCGTGGTATGATAAATACACCACCGTGCAGTCTGAGGTGCTCTTTTCAATGGAAGAAGTAAATAAGGTAAAATAGAGTATTTTTTTGTAACAAACGGTTTTGTGAAAGCATAAATTAAAATAGGAAGAAGCAAATGGTAACATAGTATGTGAAGTGCATAAATGCCCTACAGTACTTCGGAAAACCGTGTGTGATTTATTTCCTTTTAAGAACTTAGAACAGTGTGAATTGTCAGTAGTGACATTAACTCTTAAACCAGATTTGAAGGCACTTCGACAGAATGCAGATTTGGAAACTGAAAAAATGGCTCAAATTGTACGTACTACACTAAGTATAATTAAATATATGTATGTAAGTCATTGTCTTTTTTATAGTTTGTGCTGACTGCAAAAAATATATGTAATAAGTTAAAAACGGCAGGTTACTGGGCAGATTTCATAAATCCTTTTTCTGGAAGACCTTACTTGTTCCCTCAGTCAGTAGATGGATTGTATCAAACTGATCCAAAATTTAGGTGTTTAGATTTTCAAATATTTGAAATAAGCGAATGCAAAGTGGTGTCTAATGAACCTGATAAAACCAAGAAAAAGTTTATAGGTATAATTTTTTTTACTATAATTTTTAACAGAAATTCGTAGACTTATATCTCAAAATGACTTAGATCACTTAAGGTAAACATACAGCAATTGAATCTTAAAGATTTTATTATTAACTGAAATATAAAGCAAATGTAGTAGCAATGAGAATGAATATTTTTTTATAAAAGTGTTTGTTTTTTAGGAAGTTTGTTTAGCAATGCACCTGTGGATAAGAAACGTCTCAACAGCATTTTTATTGCCTGATATCTACATTCAAACTGTAAATATCTACACTTTTATTGTGTTCTGTGACCAGAAGAAATTAAAGGATTTGTCGTTATTATTTTTAATTGCATATTTACATTTAGAAAAAGAATTTTTAAAGTTTCAGTAGTAACAGTAAATTTGTTNTTTATCATTATTTATTTTAATTATTTTGCCCCTCCATGTTGTCTTACAACGAAGTCCAATTCTGTGGATCATAAATTTATTCACTGCAGACAGGAATACTGTAAGTTTAAAACCTTTGCTACAGAATAAAGTTAATTTGTTAGTGACTTGGTAATGGTCTTTACAGTTTGTTACAATGGGCTAATTATATAATTAATTTCAGGTTTATGTCTTCTTTTACTGGATATTGTGTTGTATTGTAGCGACTTTAATTGTTCGTAATCAAATTGAAGATGGCAATAAAGCCTCTACAATAGTTAGAAAGACTTTTCATGTTTTAGCAGTCGCAGTTTATTTACCAGGATTATTATATTGCTGTAATTTGCTTTATCTTGCAAGTGGAGTCGTTTTAGGGATATTTGTTGGATTAGAAGTATGTTCAAGATTAAAATATACATATATACACTTTAAGATGTCTAAACTTTTGCATACTTCTAGCTTTTGAGGATCTTAAAAATAGAACCATTGGGACCCATATTACAAGATGGTTTTCACGTTTACAGTGATGAAAAAGATGTGGGTTCGATTGCTCTAACGCCAATTTATTTATTAGTCGGATGCTCTTTACCATTATGGATTCACCCTGATCCATGTGACGTAGTGGACTCAGCGGGATTTAATTTGTTACCCCTAACCAGTGGCTTGCTTACTATTGGTATAGGGGATGCAGCAGCTAGTGCAATGGGGAAGAAATTTGGAAAGCATAAGTGGCCTGGTGTGTTTTTTTATACAAATATTTATTAACTTAAAGTCGAGAAGACTATAAACAGGAGAAGTAACTCTTTGTAAAGCGTTTCACGCCAAATAACGTTATCAAGAGTACCACGTCAAGAAAACTATTGTAGCAGTAATAATATATAAGCATAGTCTTTTTTATGTAAACAAATAATGCGACACACGGACTGGATATAGGATTAGTAACTCAATCCGAAGAGAATGGCTCAGAGTAGCATTTTAATTAACAATCAATACAAAATGCTGTGCGGTATGCGACTGCAGATCAATTCCGGTAGTATCAGTTGTCAAACACAAAACCTAAACAAAATCACCTTGCCTACTACGCAGTAGACAACTTTTCACAGCTTCCATTCTTCCTATTCCTAATCTTGCTGCTGCTGATTTGTTGTACCCCCACCAAACAAGTTTTCTCCTGATCATAGTCTTCTTGCTTATATTATTCAAAAAGTATGTAGAATACATTTAATTTATTTTAAACCAGATTTGAGCAGTACATTCTCCTCAGAACAAGCTTAACAAGCAAGTAGAACCTGTAGGAGGTAAAATTAAATACCTGTGTGCAGGTCTTACAAAAAAAAGAACATTTTAGTCGAATCTAACATAGCTAAATTAAAATTAGTAAAACATATTAAAAATGTATATATTTTTTTCATAAATAAAGGAATGTAAAGTGTGCAAATGAAGCAACACTAGCTGTTTCAAAATATAAAAACCATCACGGTTTTTAGCATGTAGTTCATTAACAAAAAACAAGCATTTTGCTGACGCGAGTTCCATTTTTATTTTTTTGTGTTTGATCATGAGGGCAACCAAAAAGTAAGACTAATTTTTTAGTATATTATGTTTATTCTATGTTTTTTTAATTACAAATTAATTCTTTAATAGGATCTCAGAAAACATTTGAGGGAACTATAGCATGCATTCTAAGTCAATTAATTATGGTGTTTATATTTAATAGGATAGGTAAGTGCATTAATAACATTCGTTAATTTCCAAAGCAACATAGTTTATACCTATTTTTAGGCTATGCTGCTTTTACACCAGTGCAAATTGGAAGAATAATTTTTGGAATAATCTTTTGTTCCTATGTTGAAGCTGTGACGGATCAAATCGATAATTTAGTACTCCCATTTATTATGTATATTATTCTAATATAATTTTTATTTTATTAAAATAAATAGTGTTTATATTTAAAAAAGGACTAAAATGTTATTTTCAAATACTTATTACATTTATTTATTCGGCTTATGATATGTGTGGATAATAGCATTCTGTATTCAATATTTGCAAGAAACGATTCTCAAGTGAGCTTCACTGAATAATGGATCAGTTTAATTGAAAAAATCTATTTAATTAGTGTTTGTTTCCCTCGGTGGTCATCTCTGTGGTAAGTGTTGTGCGACGCGCCAAACGAAAGTGACGTACGTCAACAAAGTAGAAATAATTAAAGTTTTTTAAATTCATTTCAGTTTAATTAGTAGTAATAAAAATGGCGAATTTGCGAAAATTGTGCGAAGAATATTTTGGCAGCAAAGATTTTTATGATATTCTAAACATAGACAAAACAGCTAGCCAACAAGAAAGTAGGTAGTATTTACATGTGTGAATTTTTTTCAAGAAATTTTCTTTTAGTTAAAAAAGCTTACTACAAACTTTCCCTGTCTGTTCACCCGGATAGAGTTGAAGAAAGCGAGAAAGCGTATGCAACCGAAAAATTTAAAATTTTGGGGAAAATTCATTCGATTCTTCAAGACAAAGAAAAACGTAAAGTTTACGATGATACCGGCGATTTTGATGAAGAAAGCGATGATTTTTGCAATTGGTTAAATTACTGGAAGTCAATGTTCAAAACTATTACCGTGGATGATATTAAAAATTACGAAAAAAGTTACATAGGTTCTGAAACTGAAATACGTGATATCAAAAAAGCTTATGTTTCTA